TTCTTCTTCCGGGTCATATGATAGAGAGGGCTTACAATCGAAATGTAATTTGGGATGTGCATTCTCCAGAACCCCACTGCACCCAAGAAAGCTTGTATTTCTTTCTTATTAGTTGGTGGAGACATTGCTATTAATCTTGTTGATCGCATCTGTGGGGATCTGTCTACATCCATCCTGCCATTTTATTCCCCAAAATTGAATCTCCTGTGCAGGTCCCTTGACCTTACTCTGTTTTATGGCAAAACCAGCTTTCAGCAGGATTTGGATTATTTTCCTCCCTTTCTCAAAGACTTCTTCTGCTGTATCACCCCACACTATAATGTCATCAATGTATTGCAGGTGTTCTGGAGCTTGCCCCTGTTCCAGTGCAGTCTGGATCAGTGCACGACAAATGGTAGGGCTGCGTTTCCACCCCTGGGGCAGTTGGTTCCAAGTGAACTGGACGCCCCTCCAAGAAAAAGCAAACTGTGGCCTACACTCTGCTGCCAAAGGAACTGAGAAAAATGCATTGCCAATATCAATCGTGGCATACCACTTGGCTGCCTTTGACTCTAATTCATACTGAAGTTCTACTGAAGCACCAGCTACTAAGAAGGAGAAAAAATTGACTGCTACTGCTAAACCCAGGACAATGAACTATAATATTTATTTCCTCTAATGTTTTACACTGTAAATATGTTAAATACTTACGTAGTGTGATTCAAATACCAACTTCCTTTATCATATTTGCAACCCTGTATGTCCCCACCCTCTGCATAGAAACAAAGAGGTACATGAGTCCAAAAATGTTTAAGAGAAGCTGTGTCTGCCCCATCCCTGGAAGTATTCAAGGTAAGCTTGGATGGGGTTTTGAGCAACTTGGTCCAGTAGATGTGTCAGTTTGTGGCAGTGAGCTGGAACTAAATGATCATTAAGGTCCCTTCCAACCCAAACTATTCTATGATTCTATACAGGACTCATAAATGAACAGTTATAAAAAGTGCCGTTACCAAGATTGTCATGAACAAACAAAGAGAAGACAAAAGGACACAATTATCACTTTTCGTACTTAACTTTTGTCATATTTCCATATGACACTCTTCTGAGAAAAAGAATTCTAACAGTATCACTTGATTGTATTTTTATTTTCCATCTCTAACAAATCTTCTAGCATGTCAAAATGCCCAAAATGGATTTTAAGTTTAGATGCTGTTTTTTTCACTATTTGTTTTCAACTGTCAGTGTGTTTGTAGAAAATACTTTTCCACTAGGTACTGTGTAAGCAGCAAATGAAGTGAGAATCCTAACACTGATTTCAGTGCTTACAAGATATCACTTATATCAAGCTACACCTCGATAGACCATCGAGGATCCTTAGCACTTTGCAGTATACACCAAAAGAAGTCAAATATTGCCCCCTAGTGCCTGCAGGACCAAGCACGTCGTTTATGAACAACTGACTTTGAACATTATACCTTAACAATACAGTCTTTTGATGGGAATTTGCAGCGGAAGCCTAGAGGATTGTGGTAATGCATTAACTCCAGCACCCAGCAAAAAGCTGTGCTCCTTAACCCTTGCTGGGTGAGTTCATCACAATACAGCTTAAGAATGAGCTGTATCAGTATATACCTGGGTAAGAAACCTTAATTCTGCAAAAAGGAATTAAAAACATTAGCAAAGAACTTCAGGAAAGAATTACTATTTTGTATTGGGGATACAAAGGATATGCATATCAAAATATTAGGAAAAGGTGGGTTTTTTTCCTATTCAAAGTATATTAACCAGAAGTACTGAGTAAATTGACCTTAGTTTTCCAAATGAGCCCATAGCTTACCATATTAAAGGCAGCATTGAGCTACTGTAAATATACATTCAGTTCACCATCAACTTCAGAAAACACAGAAGAGAGATTCCCTAAAAAGCAAGGGAATCATGTCATTGAGTAGCATTCATTCTGAAGACATTCAAGGATTAAAGCACAGAAAAGCAGGATCAAAAAGGGAAGCACTAGTAACAGTAATTAATACAATAACGCAAGTTTAATCTTTTGAAAACAAAAGCTCATACATAGTAACCGAAGCAACTTGCTTTATTTCTGCATAGGATATGTTAAGGCACTGGAGAAATATTATAGTAAAAGCTCTAGGATTGCACTTCACTTCATGTGATCAGTGAATCATGAACAGAAAGTTTTCCAGAAGAAACAGCACTTGCAGTATTACCATCTTCTGCTACACTTCAGAAAGAGAACTGAACCAATTAAGCTAACCAACCAGTAAGCACAGTGCTATATACTCAACATATATCCAAACTGTGAATGTAGGAAAGAAACCTAGCACACTTCACAAAAATACACTTTATACACAAATAATATATATGCCTGCCACATACGTCTTTGTGTCCTTACCTTTCATTCTCTGAACACTGAATGCCTGCAGGCTAGCTGCTGGCTGGCATGTCATCAGTCACTTACACCTTACCCTCTGGCCTTCAGATCTCCTACTTGTCTTTATTATGTTTATATTCTTTCATCTAAAATAATTCTGTAGTGGTATTTTGTTATGTCTATAACCCTGTAGTCAGAAAAGAAATTTAAGCAAAAAAGCCGAAGGTCCCACATTTTGACTTCTCATGACACCACCAATTCTTCTTCTATTGCACATTCAGTAAGAAACCTATGATATACACTGTACGTTATAATTCCTTTAAGCATGATCAGCATACCAATATCTACCATCTAGGAAAAAAAAATTCTGACATTAAGGGCTTCAAGTAACATAAACATGTACGAAGAACACAGACTATTATAAAATAAAACTGTAAGATCCAGGATAAGAGGAAAAAGTGATACTAAAAGCTGAAGCCTTCAGTGGAGAAGCAGGATAAGAAGCCTATTTAATAAGGCTGTAACCAAATAGCTTGTCTGCATTTAGTTAACACTGAAGGGGCAAAGAGTGACATAACTGAGTTAGCTAGTTTTGTTGTGGTGACAGCTTCAGGCAGCTACCTAAATCAGTTCTTATATGTGCCGCAGAAAATATATGGACCCAGTCAGAGATCAATATGATCAGACAAAAGCCGTTTATTACAAAGCCTTAACCCCTTATATACTACTTTTTACAAGCACTCACAGTGATTTGGCATATTATGATTGGATACATGTCTTGAAGACCCTTAGTGACTAACACATAATTGGTTAAGCACAGGTGTGAGAACTTGACCTTGAAAGCTTGCCAACAGTCCACAGTTCTCCTTAACTTCATTAATTCCGGCTTCTTCTTATCTAGCTTCTTTAGGTTTCCTTGGGCCTCTCATGGCCTTGCTGTATCTTTCAGGATTTATGTACCAATTATCCATTCTCCTGTGAGAACACTGTCTCCACATATATGTCTTCATGAATTAGAATTGCTTTAATACTTTTTTCCTGACAACTAGTCAACTTCCCCCAAAACCCACAAGCATAAAAACTTATCCACTGAATAAGGCATATTTAGATAGGGTTTTTTTATGCTTTTTTTGTAGACCTGGTTTTTGAGAGACCAAAATCATTGCACTAAAAAAAAATAAAAAAATTATGTCTTCTCAAGAACATTAGATTTCTAAAAACCTGACTGGTTTGTGGGAACCAGTGTCTGCTACCATTTACTTTCGGCTCCAGGTAAAACTCACAATTTTAGCGTGAAATAGCAAAGTAAAATTGGAGGAAAAAATCTAAATTGACATTTTGCTTCATTACTTTGTCTTACCAGAATATAACTCATCAATTCCAAAGGTTCCCAACTCTTCCAAACAGTTCCCAACTTCACACCCATTTATAAAGTCCTCAGTGATATGGACAGGCCCTGTTTCCCTCTCATGCCTTCCTCACTAATACCCAACTATGTTTATGAACATTTCACAACCAGTTCACAGTGCCCTTTTAGGGTGGGTTTTTTCTTTTCCCCAGCTGCAGATTTTGTATAAAGTTTTATATGAGAACTGTAAAAATAGAAAACTTTCCTACAACCCAAGAACCCTACTAAATAAAGCTTGCAGACTTCTTTGAACTGTTAAATCTGTCCCCTTAACACCGTCCTCTGCATATTCAGGACCATAGTGTAGGGGTACTGAAACAAAGTTTCCTGTAAACCAGGCGGTATTTTTAATCTTTCTAATATTCCTTACATATATCTGTGTACCAAACACTCAGGTGCAGAAGGAATTAGCCAGACGCAATGATCCATGAGAAAGATTTACAGCTACACTAATAACTTTGACAACCATTGTATCTTTAAACAGGCAACAATTTTCAGGCACATGGCATAACAATCTCACTACTATTGTTATGATCTGTAAGAAAATCAGATCTGTTCTGAGTCAGACTGAGGATGATTTTTTTTTCCAAGCGATGCAGGGCCACACTTGGCCTTTCTCCTACCCTTTCAAGCCTGTTCAAACAGCAGAGAGATACCCAGACCTGCTACAGCAACACTTCAAGCAAATCCCAATTTTCACAACTTTCTCCCCATTCATATTCCAATTCATACCCAGGTAAAAAATCAAGCAGTCATAACTAGCATCTGTTTTCATATCCTCTTTTCCCCCACTCCCCAAACATAGATAGTCCAGCAGGTAAAAGCGCAATATTAACTTAAATCCAAAACCCCTAGTTAAGCACAAGCATAGTTAGCTGTGCTCACATGCTGTTCACTTAGAGTCATCTAACTATGAAGCAACTATCTACTCTCTTATTAAGCTGGGTGCCAGATTTAAATTAAATAGTATATAATTTATCAAAATCAACTAGTAAGGCATATCCAGTTGCAGTTCAACATTTTTTCCCTCCAGACCCTTCTTTTGACAACAACCATGCAGGACGTTATATATGAAACAGAAAAATTTCATTGTCACAAAAGACCCAGGCTCCACAATAAAATATATCATCAAAAGGTTACAAACATTGCTTACACAAGATTTACCACCTATAAGCTTAAAGACTCCAAAAATCTCCAAAACAGATTATGGTGGCTACAAATCACAGAAGAGGAAAAACTGTACTGATGACTTGTAGCATTTGCCCACCAACTTCACAAAAAAATACAGGTTCTTAAGAAGGCCACATTAGAGTTTTTAGAGTGTAAACAATTTCCTGAAAACATAATTCTTTTAAGCAGCTTCTGTAATGCTCTAGCTGCTTCAGGAGGCTCAGTGCTTGGTTTTTATTAAGCTTGTTAACTAAGCAACACAAGCAGACAGCTTACAGCTGTGTAAAATCAGGAGGTTACATTCACCTAAGTTCTGTCCACCATTGGGGGGGGGGGGGTGGTGATGAAAATTAAACTAGGTAGATTTCATTCTATCTTGCTCAGATGCACCACAAAAGCTCATTTCTTCACAAAATCTTTTTTTATATATATATTTTTAGAAGTGGTCCATAACAACTCTTACTTACAGACTATCAGGTATCTTACAGCGAAATTAAATGTACTGTTGAAAACAGTAGTTCTTTTTTAATATGTCTGCTTCCTGGACAAAGACACTATTAGAAAGTGAAACCTTTCCAGGAAGGACTAATCAGTCTGATAAGTCAGACATTAGTGTCATGTGACTGTAACAACCATTCTCTACCACCACCACCCCCCCCAAAAAAAAAAAAAAAAATTGCTCATTTGTTTTATTTTTTATTCATTCTTTTAAAGAAAGAGATAAAAGGAAATTGAATCTCTCATATTTGGCAGTTTGCATCACATGGCTTTTCTTTTTCCAGGCCTGCTTTGATTCTGATCTTTCTTACAGCTTTTATCTCATATGTTTTCAGATGTGATCTAGACCACATCCTTGGAGTGCACAAAGAGCTTACAGTATCAAATTTTCTGTCTTTTTAATGCCTTGTTTGCTTTAATATATGTAATGCTTGTGAAAGATAACAGTGGTTTTATTGGCATTTAAAAATTTATTTCTCAAGCAGTAACACACACAAAGCAAAAGCTATAGCAGTGCACGCATCTCCACAAAGCTCTGCCAACACAGCTTAATGCCATCTAATCCCATTATTTATTACAGTTTCTACTACCTTGCCCATTGGAGATGTCAGGCATATCAAAATCGGTATGTAGTTTCCTGGCTCATTTCTGAAGTCCCTTTAGGCAGCCATATTTGTGTCATATTTGCCATTTTCCAACACCACTTAGTATGATGGATAGCAAGCAAAAACTTAGCACTCTCTTTTCCCCAGCTACAAATTATTTAATGATTCCATAATTAATATATCTGATCATCCCAAATAATTTTTTTTTTATCTTTTCTCGTCACTCTATTGATAATTCAGTTTAAAGCATATTCCCTGGTCTTCTATATAGGAAGAGTTCTGCTGTGGAAGTTCCCCCCCCCCCCCAAAAAAAAAAAAAAAAAAAACAACCAAAAAACCAACCAAAAAACCTACAATTTATTTTCTCTGTTCTGGTTCTATTATGATTGCTCTTCCCACCCAACCTTAACTCTCTGCAGATCCTCAAGACTCTTTTGCAGGATTTCTGCTCATAAATACCAAAGTTATGAGTTTTGATTCCTTTTTGCTGGGTTGTTCTAACTCATTTTAGCTTTCATTCAACCTAATTTTAGCCTTCATTCAGCATTTCACAAAGACTTCCAATCCCTTCTGGTTCCTTTTCGGACACAACTTCTTCTGTGTCCTCTCTGGAAAATCCCCCCCTCCCCCCTTTTTTTTTAAAGTAGTTGCCCTACACCTGTGTTTTAATCATATTGGCATCCTTCAGAGCTTGGCCCTCCACTGCAGCCACAGAAGTAAATAATCACACAAACCGCCCTTCTGCAAACTACAGAAGAACATAATGCAAACACTGAATTGTGAATTTTCAGTTCACCCTGTAATTTAATTCACAATGTGCTACTAGTCTCATTGCTAAGATGAAAACTAGTAGTAAGCTTTTCATACAATAAGCACATCCCAAAGCACAGAGCAATCCAAGTGGTCAAAGACTACTCTCATAGCACAGGAAAAAGACCCTCTACGCAGTCTTTTAGGAACTCTCAATTCCTTTCCCTAATTCAGTATTACTATACTGAATTAAAACTTTAAAGTTTACAAACAGTGCTCAGAATCATGCCAGTATCAATAACACAAGTTAAATTCTAGGACTCTTAAGTAAGTGGGTGCCATATTCAGGCACCCCCTCTCATATAATAACAGCTGCATAATCAGAGCTTGACTTATTTTGAGTCAAATAAAAGCCTGAAGAATTATTAATAATAAATATTAATAATAAGGACATACAGGAGAGACCATTTGAACAAACCGAATTATTTTCTAAGGTAACAAATGCACACTCCAAACTGGAAACAAAATCACAGAACTTAGGGGGACTACTATAGAGCATACGGGTGTTAGATGGAAAGGCTTTGTGGGGAACTTGCTACAGTACTTAAACATGGAGTCTGGCAGAATCCTGTCATGAAAACCTACTATACACTTTTTTACATCCTGCATTAATACCATGCTTTTACACAGAATTCATTGTGCAGTCCAAGAAAAAAAAAAAAACAAAAAACCCAAAAATGTTTCTACTAAATCACAAGAACTCTCTCTGCACCTCAGGCCTCTCAAATTTTCTCTGCCCAGTCATGTCATCTGACTGGTCACACAAGAATATATGTCAGCTTGGAGTTTGTCATGGAGCTGATTAGAGATTATTTTCCAAGGAGCCGAAGCTAATATGCTTAAGCTATTGGACAAAAATGTCATATATGCTCTTTATATGCACTTTGCTCTCTGCATTAAATCATATGCATCATAGATCTTTAAGGACAAAATTACTGAGGCACAGCACATGCATTCCTTTAACCACTGCAGTTTACCCTATCAAAATATTACTGAATGCTCTTATGACTATAGAAAGGAAATTAGCATGTTTTATTTTCTTTAGCTATTTAGTTTCCATCTCTCAGAGTCGTCGTGTCCCCCCCCCCCCCCCGTAATAATTTAATCTTGTTGAAAATTTTTAGGTCCACATTGTACTGATGGGGCCCTCCAGTAACCAGATTATGTTCTCAAAGTTACTGTTTTAGAGGGCCTAAATTTTACATCCAGTAATACTTCATTAAATTAGTCTCCAAAGTTTTCACTATTGCTTACTACTTCCTATATGTTTTCATTTAACATCTACTTTTCTTTATATGCCTTGTTCTATGCTTGCAAAGCACCTTTCTGCTGGAGACTGCCTGGTCTGAGCTCAAGGTAACTGAGCTATCTACAGACTCTAAACTTTCAGCTCCGTAATTTTCCATCTTTTAACTAGTTTGGCCTCTTCCTATACTTTCACTGTAACCCAGTAAGTGCTTCATCTGCCTTATCCCCGTTTATGTTGGCTTAGCACTTTTTACAGTGGCTTGCCCTCTCCAAGGGGCAAACGACTGCAGTAGCGAAGCCTCATCATCAGCATTGAAAAGCAACCACAAATAACTAAGAGATTTGAGCCGGTTTTCCCTGCTCAGAAAGCTGTCTTCGTTCGTCCAGTATAAATGAGCACTTTATAAACTCAGGGTTTACAAAGACACAGCGGAGATGCTTACTTTTTCGTCAAGTTTCAGACACAGAATTGATCCCTCACGCCAGCGCTCCTCAGCCGCCGCCTCACAACCCTGAGGCAGCGCGCCCCCCATCGCCCTCTGACGCGAGGCGCCGGCACTCCTCCTGGCCCCTGGCCCCGGTCCAGGCGGGCGGGCCAGCTCCGTCAGCTCTCGGCTTTCCGAAGCCCATGAAGGTGCCGTGGCACCGTGCAGAGCCCGCCTGACGAGGACCCCGCGCCCCTGACTGCCGCGGCTCTCCACTCCTTCCTCCGGACCCAGCAGGGCTCAGGAAGCAGCTCGGAAGCGACACGCCTGCCCAGCGGCAGCCGTCGATGGAGCGCGACGAGCCGGAGCCGCTGCCGGCCGCTGCTCAGCGGGTATCGGGACTGAATCAGTCGGCGGGGATGGGCGAGGTGAGAGGCTTCCCGCTGCTCAGTAAGCTCGCTGGCTTTCACCTGGCTTCTCTTTACTTTTCTCAGTCTCTAATCGCGGGACATTGCTGGGGTAGGAAAGTTTGAGGGGCAGCGCGGCCGGCTATGTACGGCTTCATAGCGACCAGCTGAGTGAAGCAGCCCAGGCGGATTGGTGCTTCAGCCCGGCTGACCTGACAACAGCTGTGGTTTCATCTCCGTGCAGTTTACTTCTAATTTGGGTGAGGAATATAGACTCATAGGTGCCCCGCAGGAAAAAAAAATACAATGTGAGGAGCCTTATTCGTCTGAGGTGGGGGATTTGTGGCTGCTCAGCACAGATAAAATTCCATGTTGCTTGGGGACCAGAACTTGAGCACCCTCCTGTTGGGCCTGCTGCTAACAGGATGATCTCCTGGCCTGCAGCTGAGCCCTGGGAGAGGACCAACACATCCTGTTCACCTCTTCAATAGCCTTACATGTGTAATAGCTTGACTCCTAACAGGCATTTTGTCCCTCAACTGCAGTCCAAGTGCACCTTTAAAAGCGCTGCTAGTCTTCACATTTCCCCTGTGTCAGAATTTCTGTTGCCCCTTCTTTGTCTTTTCTTCCCCGTTCAGATGTGTCTTTTCCAACTGGGGGAGGGACCAGTGACAATGATAGAGTCTTTGAGCTGTACGGTGCGCATTTTCTTGTAACAGCTGGAGAGGGACAACTAGGCTGTTCTAGTCCAGTGTAATTTCATGTATATTGTGCTGTAAGTAGCATAGAACATTAAAATTTTAAGAAAGAATGAGAGGGATGCTTTTGCTGCTTGAATCAGTGGTGAAGTAAAATGTAGTACCTGTAAGTCTGTATGAAAAATGCTGAGGGAAAATGCTACCTATAAAACTACATATGATATGGGGAAGATAAGTAGGTAATAGGGGTTGGATTGTCTGTGGTGATATAAAATAAATTGGGGAACTCAAGTGGAAATATTTGACAAAGAAGAGTGCCTGTTTCTTCATGCAATGCACTGTGGATGGATTTTTAGGAAAGAATGGCCATGTTCCCAAGTCAGCAAGTGCCTACATGGCGCTCGTCATGAACCGAGGATGAAAGAGGACGTGGGTAAGGAAGCAAAAGTAACGGTGCAAGCAAGATAAGAAGAAACTGGAATGTGCTAGGATACAAAAT